GGAGGAGGAGGAGGAGGAGGAGGAGAGAAATAAGCATATAACACGGGAAAAGGGACGAGAAAAGGAGATGGAGAAGTGTGAAGACGGAGGAGGGGGGGGGCGAAGAGGAGGAAGAGGACAATACCAATTATGAAGATTCTGATGATTTAGTTATGATGCTGTCCAAAAACCAATTAGGGGTCGCGGAGGAACAAGAGGGGGCAGAGGGAGGGGAGGTGGAAGGAAGGGGAGGGGCGCATCACAGCAAGAGGAAAATGAGGAGTCTATTGCAAATGGAGAACTGAGAGGAAACGTCCGCAAGAAAAGAAAAATATCGTTAACAGAAATCTGAGTGACACAGCGCTTCCACACTATACAGCACACTCGAAATTGATACGCGATCCAAGCTCTTTTCCTCAACTCTGCCTCATCAAGTCAACTTGTGAACAACGCAGCCAACACTCCGATACTCCAAAGTCGTTCTCAGGGTCTCTACTTTCGAGGAAATAGAGCAGAAACATGTCGTGTGAATCTTTCATCGCAAAGAACACTCCAACGAAACGAAGGTTATGCGCAACTAATAACTTCAATTATTTCATGTTATTATGTTTCTTTTCATTATCCTCGCCACTTTTGAACACGGTTTTGGGAATGTTTGTCAGATTTCGCCCAGATGGCACGCTGTCATTAGATGAATAATGCCACCTTCTCCAATTGCTTATGCAGTTTTGAAAAGGAAGCAAGACTTTGGACTCATAAAAGGTTTTAAGAAGCTATGACAACCGAGATGATTAGGGTTTGTGCCTCGATAGCGGTAACAGAATACATTAATTAATTGCAACCAATAGCATTAAATGTATACCGGTTGGCATAACCCAGCAGAACTGATCAGAGTTAAATAACAATAAGTAAAGCAACCAAAGTATGCACGCAGCTCGTTAGCCTCAAACAAATAGCTACCTAGAAAATACGTTTGACCAAACTTCCAATAACTTGCAAAGCGAAAGATCCCGTAGAAGTTCTGAAGTATTTGATTGAATGAATTTTAGTCACCGTAAAAAGCCTAATTATTGTTTACGTCCTTTTGTTTTGTTTCCTTCAGATCAATTTAACGCCGATAGCTAATTACAATACTTTGGCGGGCGTACCCTTTAATTTCGAGATATTTTAAGCAATGGCTCTAGCAACCAAAAGGAAACAGCTCTAGTTACTCTATTTTATCCTTAAAGTAAACTTTCAGAATTGAAGAAGGGAACTTGACTCGGGGATTTAGCTCTGGTGAGATCCACAGATTTGGAGAAAAGGCACAAATGGGGGAACTGTTTTTAAGGAGGCCTTGGGGAAGGCAGTAAACTTACAGCACTAAAGAAGGCAACCGGAACCTTGGTGGAGCTTTTATGAGATTTGGAAGGAGGGGAGTGAGAGTGAGAGAAAGAGAGAGAGAGAGAGAGACAGAGACAGAGACAGAGAGAGAGAGGGAGAGAGACAAAGAGAGAGAGAGAGAGAGAGAGAGAGAGAGAGAGAGACAGACAGAGA